GTGCTTTATCATGTTCCAACCAATCTTCTGAACATATGAATCCACCACCTCACCTGTACTTGTTTTAGATCATCTTGAGTTAGGGACCTCGCTTTTCATGCTGCATGTATGTGGAGGTATATGAATGCAACACAAACCTCTGTTCTTTAACAGTAGTGAGTTTCAAATGAGTAGTTGAAACAGTTTAGTTAGGTTTTTTTTTTGCTGGATAGCTTGAATGTGTGCTGGGGTACATTTGTATTGTTCTGTATATTGCCCCAACCATATGCACCTCCTTTTTTTGCCTATTTCAAAATGATCAGAGCGGCTGCAATTGTTGCTTTATTAGGATTGCAAGTAGGTTGTGTCCAACCTAATATGTTTTTTTTTTATGCACTTGCCATTGGATTGTTATTAATAGTGTGCATCCACTGAAACCTAGTGCTAGTATAGTGCCCATGAGTTCCATCTGTTCTGGATACGAACCGGGGCACCCCACCTCAAGTGCATAGCCACTGCCCACCGCCACAGCACCAGGTCTTTCAGCCTCAGGATTGTGGAAACACGAGCCACCTGTGTCCCCCTCCCTGTCAGCAACCACCCAGCCACAGCGTCTCATCACCGATGAAGTGGTTATATTAACCCGACAAGAACACATTTGGGAATATACAGCTTTTCCTTCACTCATCAACAAACGTAAAGAAACATCACCTCTGCCTCCTCGTTATCACGAATCAATGGGAAAATAGACATCCCTCCAACGCAAGGTCACAGTCAAGACACTGCAGACACCGCAACCATCCACCTCTACCCCTCACTACTGATCCCGCAAACACCCCTCACCCTAGGCAAGCAAAGCAAAGAATACTTTTATCTACTTTTATATACTATTAAATCTACGTTTACAAGATTTTGGAGAACAGACATCACTCCTGGCAAGCTGGAACCCGTGCGAGACCAGCATCATCAAACTCCACCCTCCGTCGATGACCACGTAATATCTTTTACCTAAGGGTAAGTCCCTAGATTTTTTCTGTTTTTCTCTTTTTGTACACGCCATTTCATTTACCTCCACAATTTTATGTTTTTTTATTTTTGGGACCACACTCGAACTAGTTGGACTAACCACGGAAGTTTGGGAACTTATATTAGCTCCCAGTTTTCCAGACCCCCCTCCCCCCCTTACAAGGTTCTGCGAAAAATCGCCCTGTTCCCTACTCGGCTTGCAGCGCTTCTCCCTTCCCTTCTCAGTATAGTGCCACAGCAACCTGTTTATTTGTGCATTGGTATATTTCTTTCTTCCCCCTCCTGTTTACTGCTAGTTAGTACAGCCCTAGCTAGACCCTCCTTGCTTTTCTCATGTTCACTTCGGGATAATTTGTTTATCGCAGAGACCGGGCTTAGAAAGTCTTTAAAAACCTGCAAAAACTTCATCTGTACTGTACTTTGTCAATTAAAACTATGTTGGATTCAACTTCTGTGTTTTATTGGAGAGTTAAGCTGTCTGTGGATTCTGTGAGTCAGCAAGTGTCTATATTGTCTGCACAGATTGAGTTGTATGGCAGAATGTCATTTCATAAAGTGGCAGATGAGAAAAAACAGGTGCACTGCTTGATTGTATAATCCTGATCCTCAGCATTATTTCCTCATTCTCTGAGAAAGCAGAGAGTAAGCTCCTCTGGAGCAAGGGCATGTTATGTGTACTGTTTAAAGCCCTGCGTAATATGTTAATACTAAGCAGCCAGTGATCAGTCAAAGCAAAGTAGCAGCAATATACAGTATGTTCCTGCACCACACAACCAAGAACTGCATAATTAAAAGGGGACAACTCTGACTTCCTGCATTGCTATATTACTACGAATACATTCTTTTTTATTTCCCACAGAAGCTTTAACCTCAATAATCTCAATGCAGAAATACTGATCACACAATACTCGGAACAGATTTGCGGAATAAAGCGGAACAGATTTGTTTAGATTTGAGAAGGTGGATTGTGAAATGTGTACATGATTGCCCGGCTCCGAGGTGCCCGTTTGCTTACTCTCTTCAGATGTTTGAACTTACATCACCTTTAGATTGTAAACTCTCACGTGCAGGGCTGTTAACCCTCCTGTTTTACATTGTATTGTAGTTGTACTCTCTCCCTTTATTCAGTAAAGTGCTGTGCAAACTGTTGGCGTTATATAAATCCTGTATAATAATAATAATAATATTGACCATGAAACTGGTTTTGTTTCCATCGTATATTTAAAAAAGAACAACCTTGCAAAGATGTAAAAAGAGGACCTGCCACGTAAAGGTACACAGAAAGAAGGAAGGTGGAGAAGGTTAAAGTGTATGTAAACCCTAACTATGAATCTTATCTGGTCCCTTATTATTATTATTACATAGTATTTATATAGCGCCAACAGTTTGCACAGTGCTTTACAATATAAGGAAGACATTACAGTTACAATACAATTCAAGACAAGATGGTAAGGAGGGCCCTGCCCATGAGGGTTTACAATCTAAGTATGTGTATATATATGAGAGAGAGATCTATATATAGATATATATCTAGAGAGAGCGAGAGAGAGATTCAGGGTCATATGGTGCCTATTGTCTGCTAGTTCTTGAAGAAATCCCATTTATGTAGTGAGTTTTGCCTTCCGTCTGCCCATCACTGTCACCAACTTCCTGGACTCCCAGTGTGCTTTGCATCTCTTTACCTGCTGTATGATGTCATGCAATCTCCATTTCCCCAAACTACATATTCCATCATGCATTGCTTCCGGCATGCAATGATAATGTTATATTGATGAGTTGCAGTTCTGATGGCAGGCTCTGTGTGAGTGCTAACACATGCGTATTCACAGGGCTGAGTGAAATTGTATCAGTGCACTGAGGAAGTATATCCTATGGGCATCTTCAATAAGTAAGTTTACAAACTTCTAGATCTATATGGTTATCAGGGGTGGGATGGAACTTGGAAAATTGAATGGATGGGAACACATATTTAGTTTTAGTTTTTGACCATAGATAGTCTCTAAGTAAACCCAAGGGCCTAATAGATCTACAATTTAGGATAATTATTACCTAGATCCTTTTCTATACTCTAGGTCCTATGAAACACAAGTAACTTGCATTTTAGGTTGAATGGTCCTCGATCTCATTTTTAGGTAACTTTATTTTTTATGTAGTTGGCTTTATTAGTAGTTTTGCAAAAGTATAGGCACACACGGTAAATAGTGCTTGTAGCTGTTCAATGTACTCCAGCTCTTGTGTATACCTGTCTACAGAGGCGTATCTACCGCAAGGCAAACTAGGCATTTGCTTTGAGCAGCACTTTCCAAGGAGGGCGCCCGACCCCAAACCAGTGAGCATCGGGTTCCATAACCCCAACATAATGTCTATTATCAGTCTGTCATCTTGGATGGATATTTATGCTCAGTTCAGCCAGTGTTGTGTCGAATTCCAGCTGCTCACCTGTAAATGACAGTCCCTGCGATGTGTTCTAATGTCCGCCCTGTTCTGGACGATCTTCTGCAGATCCGGGCGGCTCAGTACAGCTCACTATGAACACAAGTCTGCAGATCTAGTCTGTGATCCTGACATCTTGGAGATGGGGAATGGTTAGGCTTCATTTCAAATGTAAGCAGACAATGTGCCAGTGAGCGAACTGCAGCTGCACATCATCTTTATCCTCACCCACCCTGAGGTCCTTGCTGTGGTCCCTGTAGTGATGCCGATGTCCCTACTGTATCAGCTGATGGCAGGCCAGAGCAATCAAAACTGGAAATGCCATCCAAGATCTTGAATGATCCCAGTCCTGGGCATATGACAGAAACCAGAGCATTTGCCTTGGGTGGCACTTTCCAATCAGTGGGGGGGGGGGGGGGGTGTCCAAGTATAGTCTTGCCTAGGGTAGCACAAAACCAAAATACACCTCTGCCTGTCTAGGCAATGTGTTGCTCTTCAGTATTATACTCCATTACATATACCATATTTGTTCCCTTTTCATCTGCTCTGTATATGCAATGCAATTGATCTCTACTCAAAAAAAAAAAGTCCCAGTCTCCATGGTGATGCAAAAGGTCATTTTAATCATCTGGGTTCTGCAGAATACAAACTGTTTCTTGCATTTAAAACCCGAAGTTCAAACAAATAAAAAAAACACATCGGCACAAAGAGAAAATGTGTCCACATTATCAAATTCTGTGCTTTCAAAGGCAGAATGTTTCTAGAGGCTTCAGGAGGTATTCTGTCTCCTGGCACCGATTGGTGGATGTGTCCAGGAGGAGAATGTTACAGTAGACTTTTCCTGGCTAATCAGGTTGCAGGTATAGAAATAAGAGTATAAAGAGGATGCTCTCAGACATTAGGTGGTTCATTGTTGTGGAGAGTTGCTTATAAGCAGTCAAACCTTTTCTCTTGTAACCAAACTGTCCCCAATACCAATGCATTATAGGCCTCCTCTCTCAGCAGAAGGCTCAGGGGATATATGTTTTAGGGGGGAGATTGCTCCATACATGCTTTCAAGAGCTTTGACTTTCTTCTGTGTTGCTTTGTTTTGCCTTGGAATTGCTCAAGAGGTGCTTCAAGCTGCTTGAGGTGCCTTTGCATTCACATTGACTTGTATGGAGACAAAAAGCAAGCAAACAAAAGCCTATTTGTTAAGAGTCCCTAAGGGGATGTTTTTTTATATCCCTTAAGGAGTTTTCTGTGTGACAACAAAGTCACAGGTGCCAAAGTTCATCCTCCAAAGGTGTGTAGACATCAGCGCTTCTCACAACTAGGCAGCGCTTGACCCAATCAGGGTGTCTGAGGTCTATCATACAGGAAACAGAAAAAACAGTTCGCCTCTCCAGTGTAGAAGACTTGAGTGAAAATGGTAAAACATGCAAGACAGATACTCACAAGCAGCCGATGTTAAAAAGCCTGTAATGTGCAGAGGGGAATCTGCACTGAATGAACATCCGATGTCAGTCATGTCAGGACCTTCGATAAAAGCAATCCTCCTTCTGGTAAAATGACAGGCACGGTTAACACGTATCCGGGGCGATACCCCCTTCGTCAGAACCTTTCCTGTATGATAGAGTTTTCTGTGTGGCCTGGTCACTCTGTGAAAGGTGGATTCTCTTGGTCTCTTGGGAGCACGACAGTGTGCTTGGCATGGTGCGGTGAACTGTTGCATAGACCTGGACGGTGAAAAGTAGTGTCCACAGACTCTCTTGAGTAGTTTCTGAACATTACCCCAACAAAGGGGAGTATGGTTTCATTGACTTTTGTCCTCCTTGGTATTGATGTGTATATCTCCCTAATGGATTTGAGGTGGGGAGGAAAGCCATAGAGTTGAAGTTGAAAGGAAAGTCAATAGCTCTGTGTTTTGGAGTAAGCAGCTTAGGTAGGGAGGAAAGTCATGAAGCTGAGGTGGGGAGGAAGGTCATAGAGTTGGAGTGGGGAAGAAAGGAATGGAGCTGAGGTGGGGAGGAAAGTCATGGAGTTGAGGTGGGAGGTAAAGTCATAGAGTTGAGATGGGGAGCAAATTCATGGAGTTGAGGTGGGGAGGAAAATCATGGAGTTGAGGTGGGGAGGAAAGTCATGGAGTTGAGGTGGGGAGGAAAGTCATGGAGTTGAGGTGGGGAGGAAAGTCATAGAGTTGAGGTGGGGGGTAAAGTCATAGAGTTGAGATGGGGAGCAAATTCATGGAGTTCAGGTGGGGAGGAAAGTCATGGAGTTGAGGTGAGGTGGGGGGAGTCATAGAGTTGAGGTGGGAAGTAACGTCATGAAGTTGAGGTGGGAAGTTCCGTAGGGCACTAGTCCTGCATTTGGAGTAAGCAGCTTAGGAGAAAATGATTCTGTGGAAGCTCTTATCCTGATGTAAGACAGTTCTCTGAAAATTAAGTACTGTTGATGATTATTCTGAACAGAATACTTTGTATTAAAAAAAAGTTACCTGTTCAACTGTGAGGTGGTATGGAAATGTGTCACTCCTATGAATTCTTAAAGACCACCAGGTCTAAGGGTAATATAATAATTTCAGATTGGATGGAGGTTAACCTTAGCTACAGAATGGTTGAAAGTATAGAGGTGGTTGGGGCCATCACAAAGCAGAGGTCAGCTAAACCCAGATACACAGAGTGAGATATTAGTGGTGTGTTATCCAGTGGGAGAGGCACAGGTACAGCCTGTGGCCTACTAGTGTCCTGTCCCACAGGGAGACAAGGGAAGCACATATCACCAAGCACACTGAGTAGGAAGTGTTCTTGATGAGTTTGTGAAGCCACCTAAGGGTTCCAGTATCAGGTGTTTGCAGAGAAACTTCTGTGAAAATAAATCAATCCTTGTGTTGTAGTCACCACTGACTAGTTGTATGACTTTTGCTGAATGACTGACAGTTTCCACGTACATGAACCTTCACACCAAGCATTTTCTTGTTTTACTGGTCCTGCGCATGCTTAGAATATTGTGACAATTTATTTCCAGCAAAGATGGCAGACATGTGTGTGGCTAATATTATTACAGGGGAAGTGCTGAATAGAGATGACATTACTCTCACTAACAGGAAGCAGAAGGTATGCACTAGTAAAGACACAAACTCAGAAAAAGTACATCAGTACATATTTGTTCATGTGTATGTGATTGTCTGTTTGACTTTATTGGCTGAATTATACTATGATGTCACTAAATATGATGCCGTCACTATTTGGGTATTCAGGCAGCCGCGAGTGCATGTGTGCGCAAAATGTAATGCCTCTGGTGGTGAAAATACATTTTTGATGAACACTTTTGAAATCATCATAATTTATTTCTGCAAAGGACATTTTTGGAATGTGATCATATTAAACTAAAAAAAACTTCTGTCATCCCAGAATAGTGAAAACGAGATAGCCGAAAATCCTGAACCCGGAAGAAGCCAGGAAGAGGATGTCGGTGCCAGTAAAGGTGATTTACTTGCAGTGTGGCTTTTATTTCTATACAATTTGACTACTCCAGGAAGAGTCAATATCCTAGCACATCCCCCTCCCTCCTTGCACATTAGAGCCTTCCCTCTTCTGGGAGTGTCTAATTACACTCTGTGCTGGCCCAGGTCCTCTGCCCCTCCCCTTATCTCCCTACATAACCTTTAATGTAGCTGCAAGGGAAGGAGCAAGGGGGATTACTATAGAGCAGGGGTAGGTAAACTCTGGCCCTCCAGCTGTGGCCAACATACAAATCCCATCATGCACCTGCCTCTAGCAGTCATGCCTGTGACTGTCAGAGTCTTGCAATGTCTAATGGAATTTGCAGTTGCATCACAGCTGGAGGGTTGGAGTTTCCCTACCCCAGAGTGTCATTTGAGTGACAAGCCTGGGTCTGGCAGGGCTGTTTCATCACATCCAAGATACACCAGGGAGGCTTTTACAGGTAAATAACATGCATACAATATGTTAAATACACATATCATTTTATGGAAAGATTTTTGTTGAAATCAATAGACTGGTGACAGGGTCTCTTTACGAAATAATAACAATAGAGCACAGCTGCAAATCTACATGGAACACTCTATTCATAAATGAGTGGCCGTGCAAGGAGACTAGTGAGTGAGGCCACCAAGAGTCTTATGGCCACTCTGAAGGAGTTAGTCTCCTCAGTGTCTGAAATTGGCGAGACAATATTAAATCCACTCTGAGGGTCCATTCGCACAAGGGGGCAGGTGTAAGCTTACATTCACACTAATATGCGTAAATGTGCAATTTGGATTTCTGCGGCAGGAATCTCAAATGTCAAGTTTAGATATGCCCACTGTCACCCATTTAAGTTAAAAGAGAACTATGGGGTAACCTTTTTATCCCATAGTTCTCTTAAGGGTTACGGGAGGACATATACCAACATCCTCCCGTGACCCAAAGCTCACTATATACTCAGCGCGCCGCAGCCGGGACAGATCCTGACAATGCTTTCTAGATCCACCCAGCTGCGTGAGTGACAGCTGGCTCTGCCTATCTAGAGGCAGATCCAGCTGTGGCCGCCCCCTCACTGTCCATTTCTTCAGCCAGAGCTGGAGGATCAGAGCGGGGAGGAGGGGTATCCCTGCGGGGAACGGTGATTGACAGTCACCGCTCTCTGTAGGGAGATGATCGGAAAGTGAGCGAGCGACGGTATGTGTTCACTCACTTCACGATCTATAGAGCCGACCTGTGACAGTTTCATTGTCACAGGTCGGCTCGAACTATGAGGATGAGTGAAAATCACTCACCTCATAGCTCTCCTTTAATGACCGGATGACAGCAGATGCGTCTGTAAATTACAGTCTCCATGTAATTGTATGTGATATGATTACATGCAATATGGAATAGATCACTATTCCTGGACGCATGGTAGATGTATCCAGGAATAGTGATCTATTCCATATTGCATGTAATCATATCACATACAATTACATGGCAACTGCCGCTTACAGATGTCTCTGCTGTCACCTGTAAGTCGATGGAGAGACCCTCCGCACTCCCCACAGCAGTCCCGGCCAGATAAGAAAAAAAGTGGAGCTCGCAGTGATGAATTACCACGGATGGCGCCGTGCAAACACAGGAAAGTCAGAAAATCACCAGCACTCAGTAGTAAAGATAAATATGTACCTTTTATTGGACAGAAAGCATCACAGACATCCAAATAAACCGACGTTTCCGGACCCACAAGATGGGTCATATCTTTCTGCCTTGAGGAAGGGACCCTGCGTGGCCCCGAAACGTCGGTTTATTTGGATGTCTGTGACGCTTTCTGTCCAATAAAAGGGACATATTTATCTTTACTACTGACTGAGTGCTGGTGATTTCCTGACTTTTCTGCTGTCACCTGGTCATTAACTTGAATGGGTGACAGCGGCCACATCTAAACAGGACATTTGGGATTCTGGCAGCAGGAATCCATAGGTTCCTGTTGCAGGAATCACATATCACACATTCATGCACAGTGTGAATGTAGCCTAAAGTGTGCATAATGCTTAGTGCAGTGCGTTGTAAAATGCATCGCAGTGCTTGTTTTTTTTTCTTTTGTTTTTAAATTTACTAAACTTTACACTCTACTAAACACTTTGCACTGCAACTTGTTGTGATGAAGTATAGCGCGCAAGAACATGATGCGCAAAATGCAGCCTGTCCGACTATTTTCAATGCACACCAATGCAGCATTGTATATCTGAATACACATTTCTGCATACTCATATTTATATAAATTGATACAAATATTATAATAATAAATTCAATTTTTAAAATGTATTAAATGTTACAAAATAGTGATGTGTTAGGCTAGAGCTATCATTTCATTAATGTTAAACATAACCCTCCCAGTTAGCTATAGGGTACATTCAAGCACCGAATGAAGAGGACGTCCCTCAGCCATGTGAATGGAACAGCGGAATCTACATATACCTACAATCCTTGACGCCACTCATCTAAAAATAAAGCCATAAGCAAACATGTGCGGGAAGTTTAGATAAGCAAACTCTAAGTAAAACTTTAAGCAATTTCTGGTTATCTACAGTATATCTTTACCGAGTATGAATAATATAATGGGGAAACAGCCTTATTTTTCTGATGAGTAATGGAAAAAAATTCCCATGCACCAATAAATTCATTCTTATTCACAACTCCTAATCGTCCTTCTTATGGTATTTGATGGGAAGGGGAGGGACTTCTGATTTGAAACCCCCTTTCAAATCAGAAGTCCCTCTCCTTCCCATCAAATACCATAAAAAGGACGATTGTGAGCTTGGAATAAGAATGAATTAATTGGTGAATGGGAATTTTTTTCCATTACTCATCAGAAAAATAAGGATGTTTTCTAATTACATTATTCATATACTGAATGGTATATGATAATGGTTTGAGGGTAAGAGGGGCTTCTGACATAAAAAGGGGGGACTTTGATGGTAGGGGGCCTCCCTATGGGAAGGGGGGCTTTGATGTAAAAGGGAAGGACTCAGATGGTGGAGGGCTACTAATGAAAAGGGTGAGCTTCTCACATGAAGGTAGGCACTCTGATGGTAGAGGGGCTCTTGATGGTAAGAAGGTGGGGTGCCTGACATGAAAGGGTGGACTCTGATGGTAGGGTATCTCCTGATGGTAAGGGGGGCTCCTGATAAGAAAGGGGGCTTCTCATGGGAAGGGTGGCTTCTCATGAGAAGTTGGGGACTCTGATGGTAGGGGGGCTTCTGATGACAAA